GCTTCTCGGTAGCAGGTGCCAGCTGTGTTGCCCCGGCAGGTGGGTGACTCTGACGGCAGCCAACCTCCCCTTGCCTGCTTAGCTCCCACCTCCGCTTCTGGGGAGCAGACGTGACCCCGTAACTCGCACCTCTGGCGAGGGAGGGCGCAAGGAAGGCGTGGTCTCCCTTCGAGGGCAGCTTGTAGATTCCCGGGCAGCCACCCGGAGGGAGGAGGTAAGGACGTGCCTACAGAGGTGGTCCCGAAGAGGGCCTGAAGTCCTGCTTTAAACTTTAAAACGTGACACTAAGACTCCGAAACAAAGGAGTGGAAGGAGCCAGTAACGTTGCTCAGCGGGTAAAGTCAGTGGTCACGGTTGAGTTGGTCAAGCGTGGCGGCTAGACTTCGATCCCCAGGACCCACTTGGTGGACAGATAAAACCCGCGCCACTGTGGCGCGCGTTCGAGCACACACAGGCGCGCGCGCACACACACAAATGTAATTTTAAAAACAAACCCCAGAGTGTCTTCAGCGCTTTAGCAAATTTCCTCAGTAGAAAAGGCTAGGGCTAGGGCACCTCTGGGACAATTCGAGTGCAGGGTGCGACCGAGAACACAGGCTACCGAGGCTTGGAGTGTGCATCCCCACTTCCCTGCCGGGTGGGTGTGAACAAATTACTGGATTTTTCTGAGTCTCCAAATTGGGATGCGGATTCTGGTTCCTAGTGTGCACCCATTCCTTCCTCCCCACCCCCCAAACAAAGGCAGCTCCATTTGGTCTCTGTTTTGGGAAAGTCGGTGTATGGATGAGACCCATCAGAACGCTGGCTGGAATGGCAAACCTTCCAGTAAAGCTTGGGCTAGACTTTTAACTTTTACCCAGGCGTGGACACGGAAGGGGGTCGAAGGTCAGCGGAAACTTGGTCCAGGCCAAGGTCAGCCCTAGTGTAGTGAACTGGTGGAGCTGGGGTGCCACTTGACGGCCACAGGAGCCAGGGCAGAGGGAGAGAACCTCATCACCTCCCTCACAGACCAGGGAAATGGAGTTTACCTTCCCTGAGGTGGATCTTTTTTAGAGCAGGCTCTCTGGGTGCTCCCCCCCCCCCCGCCTCCCGCCGGCTCCCATCTCTCAGAAATAGGAGACCTGGCAAAGGACCTTAGGAATGGCTGGCTTGTACCCACCCACCGTGTGAAGGAAGATAAAACATGCCTGGTGCCTGGCCTAACATCTCAGGAAAGGAGATTGGGTCTTGAAGAAAAGGTAGAGGCAGTCTCTCCCCTTTCCACGGGTGGACTTCCCCGTGGGGGTCCCTCACCTGGGAAACCAGTTTCTGAATTCTCTAATTTGAAATTTGATTTTGAAAAATGTCCAATGGGTGCACCACAGCCTTGGTTCAGGTGTATTTCAAGAATTTGCAAATTTTACCCCCAAGTATTTTTATACAAACAAACAAACACTGAGTTTATGGGGTTACCTAGAAGTAAATACAACTCAGGTAGGTGGACGAGGTTTGAGAGACCAGTTGTTTTGGTGGATACTTCTGGCTCTAGGATAATAGATCCATCCTTCCTTCCTTCCTTCCTTCCTTCCTTCCTTCCTTCCTTCCTTCCTTCCTTCCTTCCTCTTTCTTTCTGCAGACTAGGCTGGCCTTGAACCCACAGATCCGAAAGCTACATGCCTCTTTCTCCCATGTGCTGGGGATTAAAGGTATGTACCACCACACCCAGCTGTAAAAATGGAGTCTAGTGTGAGGGGTTTTACAGAAAACTCTGGATTCGAAGCCAGGTCTCTGACCCCGGTTCCTGCCCGGGGTCAACATTACTGGAATTTGTTTCCTATCTAGGTTTACTTTCTTATTTGTAAAAGGAGGGTTCTGATTCAGCTCACAGATGAGCAAGTGAGTTCTTTTCCCCTGTGATGCTGCTGTGGGCTAGAATTAGGATGTCAGGATGTTTGTACCCTGGCTACCCAGTTGCAGCTCCATTTGTTTTTCATTATCTGATTAAAAAAAAAAGATTTATTTTTTATTTTATGTGCATTAGTGTTTTGCCTGCATCTATGTCTGTGAGGGTATCAAAATAGAACCACGGTCCTCTGAAAGAACAGCTAGTGCTCTTAAGCTCTGAGCCATCGCTCCTGCCCCCATTACCTGATTTTTTTTTTTTTCTACCAGTTTTACAAGTATGTAGCTATGCGGTACACTCCCATTAGCTTTGCTGTCAGGGTCATGGGAGAATAGGTTGCCTGTTTTTCAGGACTTGGAGGCAGCTCAAAAGGGCTGCAATGGGTTGGAGAGATGGCTCAGTGATTAAGAGCTTTTGCCTATCTTTCAGAGGATATAAGTTTGGTTCCCAGCACCCATATCAGGTAAGTCAGAATTGCCTGTGACTCACACTCTGGAGGAACCTGGCCCCCTGTTCTGGCCTCCGTGTGTACAGACATCCACCCCAACCCATCCCTGGTGGGACTTGAAAGTACAGAATGTGTTACACCTCTTTTCCCTGCCTCCAGTCACCCTCCCCATTTCTCGGACCACCCCGTTTCTTTATCACACAAACACTCTAAAGCCTATGGTTGGTAAGGCTGGTTTGAAGCTCTTGCTTCTTCACATTTGGCCACGTTGTCACTTCAGTGTTTGGTACTGGCTGGCAAAACAGGACCCTTTTGGTTATGGGAGTCTTTTGGACTTTGGGTGCCAAGAGAAGAAATAAACAAACAAAGTGCTTTCCCTCTCTCTTGGAAACAGAGCTGGGGTGGTCTAAAGAGGCAATGGAGAAGGTCTTAGTGCCAGGTGGAAACCAGCCAGGCAGGCCCTGAGATGAGTATTTCCCAGCCCTGCAGGGGAACATCTGAGGATGCCAGGGCCAGATGTGTTGATTCTGTACTCTCCCAAGCGTGATAAAATCCTCATCACGAGCAGTTCTTCCCATCGAGAACACCGCCCCCTAGTGGCGGGCAAGCCCGCCCTGGTCTTCCATCTCCAGTCGTCTCTCCAGCTTCTGGAACACTTCTCCTCTTTTGGAAGGAAATACCCCAGCTGCTTCTGCACTGTCAGCGGAGTGCTTGCTGAAGGCGCTCCACTCTGGAAGCACACGGCATGTCTGGGTGCCCGCCAAGCAAAGGCTGCCAGCCTCCTCAGGCACAGCTTACATGCCCATCCCCCTCAGCAAAGCTCAGACTTCCTTCCTCCATCGCTACCTCCATTCTCTATTGAAGAGCTGCTTATTGATCTTGGCCCATTTCTCAAAGTGGCTGCACTCTTAACTCCACTCTCAGCACAGACGACCTGCAGAGCCACATCCTCTCCCAGGGGAGCAGCTCTCAGTGGCTTGGACAAGTACCAGGTTAGGGATGGGGATTCTACCTAGCACACCTTGCCTGTTTTCCCTCTGGTTACCTGGAGGGCCTGCTTGGTTTCAGACCCAGGAAAGGCAGCTGAGGTACCTATTTAACTAACTTATCAAAGCAGACCTGGCCTTCGGGTTCTCCCAGCATCCTGCAGTCCCTGGCTGGTACAGGGTATACCCCGAACTTTCCAGCCCCGTGGCTGGGCTTCCTTCGCCCAGAGGTTCTTCCCTATATAACCCACACATTTTGCTCTCTCCCCCTGCTCTCTCCCTGTGTGCAGAAGCTTTCTCTCTCTCTCTGCCCTTGCTCTGGCTGCCTCTGAGACCAGTGAACCCACCCAAGGGGTCACTCAATAATCCTGCTTTCATACTTTTAATTTGGCTTGAATTGGCTTATGTCATTAAGGGAGAAAACCTATTAGAGCCAGACTTGGCTTCTATCCGAGGGGCCAATTCAGGCCCTGGCAGTGAGGTTTCAGTAATGTGACTTGTGAAGCTAAGGTTACAGTGTTGCCTTAGGCTGGAAAACATGCCTAGTTTCTTCTCCATTGTGACTTCTGATGCCACTAACACTGAGCAGCACATGGCAAAAGCTGAGACTAGGGTTGAGTCAGGTTCTAAGGAGTTCTCATGTCCCCAGGCAAGCCATTTAACTGTCCTTCCAGGCAATCACCCCTACCCAGTTTGCTTTTCTCAGGCTCAACGAAGAAGGCCCTAGAAAACTCACCGGGTACAAAGTCTAAATGTCTGTTGGAGGAGTGGGGATGGTGGATCCCCGGGACACGTCAAACCCCAGGTTCCATGCACTACATGTGGTTTCCCTGGTGAAGACCTGGCAGACAGGCAACCCCATCTTTCTTTTTCTTGTGTAGGGGGATGCTTGTGTGTGTGCATGCACATGCGCAAGGAGAGGTAGACATGCATGTGTGTATGGGTGTGCACATAGGCCAGAGGTCAGGCTTAGGTGTTTATTGTTCCGAAGGAGCCATCCACCTTGTTTTTTGAGGCAGGGTCTCTCATTAGCTTAGAACTTGGCAAAAAGGCGAGGCTAGCTGGTGAGTGAGCTCAGGGAACCTTCTGTATTTCTGCCTACGCAGTGCAGATTACAAACTTTTGGTAAGGATGGGTTCTGGGGACTGAGCTCAGGCGCTTAGGCTTACAAAGCAAGAACATTACTGCCTGGGCAAGCTCTCCAGTTCCCACTTTCTTTCTTTTTTTTTTTCTAATTAAAATTGTATGTGTATGCAAGCCTGGTGCCAGAGAGGGACAGGGGTCATAATGGCTATGGGCTGCCACGTGGGTGTGGGGAATCAATCTATGCCTTCTGAAAGAGCAGTGATCTTTCCAGCATCCTCAACCCTAACATTTTTTCCTCAAAACTGACAGTTACAACAGAGGGCTGATGAGGTTGCTCACTGGCAAGAAGTACTTTTTGATAATTGGCAACCAGAGTACAGAGTGGCAGGAAAGAACTAACTCCTGAGAGCTGTTTTCAGAACTCATGTGCCTGCACACACACACACACGTATGCAACATACACACGCTAAAATAAGCAAACACATAAAAATCTTTAAAGTCAGAGCAGAACCTCCCAAGAGCCCCTGAACTGTGAAGCACAGCTGGAGGGGAGACCTCCACCTTTTTAAAGGGAAGCAGTTAAAAATAAGACACCACATTAAAAAGGCCGATTTTATTTGTTGAACATAATTTAAAACTGTAAAAAAAAAAAAAAAACTTCTTTACCCATCACTAGAAATCCCCATGACAACTGGAGAGTATTGGTTCTTTGCCCCATAAAAGCTTGATGGAAAATAAATTCCCCTATGCCTCCCTGACCCCCTCCCCACCTCCCACTCCTACTGCTATCCCTAAAGAATGCTCTGCAACAGAGGCAGGGCTCTGCCTGGAGGAAAGGTGCCTTGTATGCTCCTTCGGGAAAGCTGATGGGGGAAAGCTGGGGTCATGGGTGTTGGAGGCCTGGCCGACAGCCACAGCCAGGCCAAGATGAAACATCTGCTGGGCTTTCCCCAGGCACCTGGCTGGGGGAGTGGGAGGACGGAATGAAGAAAACTGCTGCTGACCACAAATTAGCACCCTGTGCCCTGGCCCTGAAATGATCTCTCCTGGCTCAGGATGGGATGAAGGGAAAAGGTGATAAATAAAGGAGATTAAAAGGAGGGTGACAGAGTCACTGAAGCCCCCAGTTTGACAGAGGTGAGTTAGGGTGCAGTGATTTTAAAACTGGCTGATGGCCAATGGGATTGATATAGATTACTGCAGTGGAGACACCTCAGTGGGGACTGAGTGTGGGTGGGCTCCCCAGCAGGGCTCATTTTCTTTTCCTAAGACCAGCAGAGGAAGGATTAGAGGGCTGGGCTGCCCTCTACTGGTGCTTTCTGGAAATGACCACACCACAGCAACCAACTACCAACCTAGACCCAAAGGACCAGGAGAGAGTGAGCAGCCCACTACAACAGTGCTAAGTGTGTGCCTAGGACTTCTCACTGGGGCATCCCACAGATGGCAGCAGGCTCCTCCTTCTCAGTCGGCTTGTAGAGAGGCAGGGTATACAGCTCACTTCAAAGGCATCGAGAAAAATTTGTTTCCGGACTTGCAGCGGACCTGCTCAGCCAGAACACGCAACAGCATCGCAGAGTCTTCGAACTCATCCACGATTTCCTTCAGCCAATGGCAGGGAGATGACAGTTATGTTAAGGGAAATCAGACCCAGAACACCACAAACAAAACAAGTCCAGTAAACTAGGCAATGCTGAGAGGGTCCCAAGTCATCCCAGAGCCAGACTCCAGGCTCTGCAATCATTGTCTTGTCCAGTCACCTTAAAATGTATGAGGTAGGGCCTATGGCCTCGGCTTGTGATGAGGACACACATAGTGCTCTGGGGGCAGTGACTACTATGAAGCCTGGTTTGGTTTGGGACTTGGCTCTACTGATGTCTCCTGGAGCTAGACATCAGAGCTCTTTGCTGTCTTGCATATGATCAGGCCAAGGGCAAGGTGCTTATAGAGATGACGGCCCATGGCCTGCACAGACTTTTGACTAGCAAAGTGTGTATATATATACGTGTATGTGTGTGTGTGTATATATATATATATATATATATATATATATTTATATTTATATATATTTTTTAAGTATCCTGATCAGTTGCCAACACAGGAGAATCAAACGACTGCACATAAAAATCTGAGTTTTTGGCATCTCTTGAGAAAAACATGCTAGTGACAAAAGGCCATGCTGCTGGCTGCCTTTGTGCACTGTCAGGGGAGGGTGGCAGCTGCCAGGCACTGTGCATGTGTACTGCAAATTCTCCTTGCAGGGCACTGGCAGGAAGGTTACTGTTTCACATGCTATAAAAATGTGGCTTGTCATGGTGGCATATGCCTACAATCTCAGAACTCCGAGACAGAAGGAACATGCAAGTTTGAGGCTTGCCTGCTCTATAGTGAGTTCAGGACAAGCAAGGAGGCATTGTGAGACCCTGTCTCAAAAACAAACCTCATAGGTGCTAAGGGCTGGAGGTTCTGTGCACCTGGCATTCTTCCTCCATTTACAACTGCCAGACCCAAACCTCTGACCTCAGGTAAATGGCTGGGGCTGAGGGGTGGGCTTCCAGCCTCCTCATGTATCAGGGTTGTAAGGCTGGGCCCACAAAGTCCTAGAGATTTTACTAAAATATAATTTCTGCTTCCGAGTCTGGGGTGGGGCCAGGGCACCTGTATTGCTACTCAGTTCCCAGATGCTGCTGCTACTGCTAGCTCAGGAATGAGTCTTCGAGCAGGAAGGGAGCGAGGTGGGGAGGGTCTCTTTCTTGCCATGCCACTTAGTTTCCTACAGATTTACATTTAAGTACCCAATCCTTCCCTTTCCGTCATTTGTCCATCCCACCATTTTTGGGGCTCAGTGCTCTGTGTCCCTGCCCTGGAAATTCACCTGTAGTTCCTGCAGGCACTGTCCCTCCAGCTGGAGCCGAGCATCACCCACACACCAGGCCAGACTGACATGAAATGAAGGGTCCTAGGGATGACAAGCAGGAGTCAGGCCACCACTGGATAGCATGGCAGGCCCACCCGTGATAGCAGGTCTGTGACAGTCCTACGAGGTCTACCTGGAGGATCCCTGGCTGCCCCAGCACTGAAGACACAATAGCTTGTGTTGCTCCTCACTACATACTGAATTGTGCTCCTCTCCCATTTGCAAATAGACAAAGCCTAACCCTAAATTGATTGTATTTGGAGGTAATTAGGGTTAGATGGGAGCACAGGGTAGCGCCTTTAGAAAAGAGATGTGGAGGGACAATGGCTCAGAGGTTAAGAACACTGGCAGCTTTCCCAGAGGACAGAGGTTTGATCCCTAGCACCCAACCTGATGCTTAACAAGTCTCTGTAAGGAATATATAACACTAGTCCGGGGAATCTGATGCCCTCTTATGGCCACCAAAGGCACTGCATGCACAGGCACACAGGCAGGCAAGACCTCCATAAGCACAAAAATAATTAAAAATTAAAGGGGGTGGGTAGAGAGCTGTGTGTGCCTTTCCCTCCTCAAGGGAAAGGTACAGTGAGGGAGAGCCCTCTTACAAGTCACAGCCTTCATCAGAAACTAATTATGCAGGGACCTTAATCTTGGACTTCCACCTTCCAGGTTTAAAAGCATATGCTAGCATGCCCAGCTCTGACTCTACTTTCTCATCTAGAACACTTCAGCAGAGGACATACTTTTCAGATTTAATGAATAAAATGTCAACAATTATTAAGAAACAGTAATTATCTCTATTCAAAAGTAACTGCATACCCCAACCATGGGCCGTGGATGGAGAGGATTTAAACCCCTGCACAGATGTAGCCCATAGACTCAGTCTCCAAGTGGATTCTCTAGTAAGGGAAGCAGGGGCTGTCTCTGGCATGAACTCAGTGGCTAGCTCTCTGATCACCTTCCCCTGGGGGGTGCAGTCTTACCAGGCCACAGAGGAAGACTAGGCAACCAGTCCTAATGAAACCTGATAGGCTAGGGTCAGATAGAAGGGGAGGAGGTCCTCCCCAATCAGTGGACTAGGGTAGGGGCATAGGGTAAGAGGAAGGAGGGAGGGTGGGACTGGGAGGAGATAAGGGAGGGGGCCACAGCTGGGATACAAATTGAATTGTAATAAAATAATAATAATAATAATAATAATAATAATAATATAAAAAGAGCCAGAACAAGCCACAGAGTGAGGGAGGATATATTCTATACATATATATATATTTATTTATCATGTATATCATATATCTGAGAGATGACCTGTATAGACACTGTACAATGAACTCTTAAAACTCAATTAGGGGCTGGAGAGATGGCTCAGAGGTTGAGAGCACTGGCTGCTCTTCCAAGCGTCCTGAGTTCAATTCCCAGCAACCACATAGTGGCTCACAACCATCTATAGTGAGATCTGGTGTCTTCTTCTGGCCTGCAGGTGTACATGCAGATAGAACATTGTATATATAATAAGTAAATCATTAAAAAAAAAAAAGACACTGTATACATAATAAATAAATAAATAAATAAATAAATATTTTAACAACAACAAAACTCAATTAGAAGAAATAGCCCCAAAGTTTTTTACAGACACTCAACCAAAAGAAATATATGGCAGGACAATAAGTACATGGAAAGGTGCTCAGTGTACCTGGGAGAAATGCAAATTAAAACCATATAAAAGGCCATAGCTATCAGAATGCCTGAGGTTGGAGAGACTGAGCATGCCACTGGCAGATAGGTAAGGACATAGAACAGTAAGGCCTCTTAGGGACTGACTGGTGGGGAATCTGGGACTATACAACCATTCTGAAAATAGTTTGGCAGTTCCATAAGCTAAAAAATATACTAATAAATGTTTACAAAGTTAAAAACAAATAATTGCACACCCAAGCATGGTTTTGAAAAACACACTGAATAGAATCAATGGCCTTTTAAAGCTGTGACACTCACCTGGACTTGGAGTTTCCAGGAGTGCAACAGGGAAGGTGTAGTGAGGGTGTGAAGCTGTGATCCCTCCTGAAGGGTCATTTTACTATATGTTGGAGACAACCAACCACTTAGAAAAGACAGGGCAAACATGGATACTTTCCAGAGTAGAAAGCACAAATCTCAAGATGCACAAAGAGATTTTTGAAATGTAGGACTTTGGGTAGACACATCAGACCCTAATCCTGGGGCCGGCACTCAGGGCTCCACATGGGAAGTCCTGGAGGTTGCTTCTTGGAGGCTGCCCTGCGCCAGGGCCAGTGGAGCAGCAGCTCTGTGGCAGAAACAGTAACCATTTGTCTTTACTTTCCTCAACCCTGTGCATTACCTGGTAGAAAGTAGTGAGGTCAAATTCCTTCATGACTCTGTCCACCTCTGAAACCAAGTCCAGGAACTGGGCATGCCCTGAACTGACCTCAAGCCCAATGAAGGTCCTAGGAAAAGGCAGGAGAGACAAGAAGAGCACAAAATGTAGCCTGTGAGAGTACAAACCATAGAAGTAGGAGCAGGAGGCATCCAACAAGAAGCCTAGGGATTTGGGCGGTTGCTCAGTTCATCTTCCTGTGCATGCCCCGCTGCTCCATGAAGCAACTCTTTTAATCTCCCTTCCTTCCCTGACCTAGATCCTTGTTTTCAGTAGGTGTGAATCCTTGCAGGGCAGCCTTCATCTACCACTGCATACTTTGCCCTCTTGGCCCCTCCACTCTCTGGCAGACCCCATGGACTCATCACCCTTTCAAAGCTTGGCTATCTGGCACCCACCTCCTCCTGCAGGTTATGAGAGCTGCTGTCTTTAGTAATTAAGTCCTCACCTGAAGCTGCATCTTCAGCCAGCCCTCATATTTTCAGTGAAACGCGGTACACAAGGTGGTCTTCTATCTTTTTCTGTCTGGTTTCCTACCTCTAACCCTCCCTCAGAAATGCTCTTGTCAAAGTGGCCAGTGATTATAATGATCTCTGTTAGCAAAGCCATAAATCCTTTCCTTATTTGCTTGGCAATATCAGACACAGTCGACCCCCTACTTCTGGAAACCCTTCAGCTTATAAGGTTCTATAGCCTACACCAAACGGAGGAGTGAACCATTTCAGAGCAGGTAAGAGGGGTGGCTTGGTGGATGGACTGGACAGGGAGGCCCTGCATATAAAATGCCTTGTTATGGTCACTTAATGCTTTAGTTCTTGGAACTTTTCAGACCTCACTGGTTCATTTGGCAGTGGATGAGTAAGGGGAAGTGAGAGATGGTGAAGAAGGGAAGGTAATAAGAGCTTATCTCTATGACAGGGAGGGAACTAGATAGGAACAAGTCTCCACTTTCATAGCCCCCTCTATACTGAGATGGTTTTCTTACATATGCACCACTCCTGAACCCCCTCAGTTCTTCTTCTGAAAAAGTTTGGGTTTGGGAACAGAGGCCCCAGAGATATAGGTGAAAACAAAATGCACTCCTTCTATCTTGGCAATAGGAAATCTTCTGGTGACTCAAGTCGGGGACCCACCTGGTTTTCTCCTGATTGGTATAAATCTTAACCTGGTTGGCAGAAAAGAAGAACCTGAAATTTAATAGAAGAAAGATATTTCAAGAAAAACAACAACAATAGTTCAGGTTTTTAAAACCAACATTTTCACTGGGGATGGTGATGGATGTTTGTAGTCTTGTGCTCAGGAGGCCAAGACAGAAGATCTCAATTAATAGTAAAAGCCTGTCTCAAATAAACAAACAAACAAACATCAATCCTCTAAATATTTACTCCCAAAAGCACTTTAAAAATATAATTACAGCCAGGCACAGTGGCTCACGCCTGTAATCTCCGCACTCAGGGAGGCAGAGGCAGGCCGATCTCTGTGAGGCCAGCCTGGTCTACAAAGTGAGTCCAGGATAGCCAAGGCTACACAGAGAAACCATATCTTGAAAAACAAACCAAACCAAATGCATACACACACACACACACACACACACACACACACACACATACACACACAAATATATATATATATATATATATATATATATATATATATATATATATATATAATCTCATTTTACAATCAATATTGTTACCCTATGATTTAAATGGAAAGTGAACTAAATAAAATCCTATAGTTAAACAGGACCCCTAAATCACCCTTGCAGCATGTGGCAGTGTCCAGATACCAGCAAAAACGTTGGCTTTGCTGGGAGAAGTTCATCCAAAGAAACAACTTGAAGCCACCAACTTTACTGACCACTAGCTTCACCTCTGTACTAGGTAGTGCATGCCCTGCAGTGCACCTGAAAAAGTCACTCATCATGTGGGTGGTAACAGATAGTATATATGACTCTGCGAGGCAAACCCTACAATTATAGAAAAGAAAATGGAACCCTGATGAGGATGAATTTGGTGAGGCAGGAGTTGAGGCTCAGTCCATTTGATTATAAAGCTCTTGCTCTCATCTAAAAAGCTTTGGTGATATAGATCTCAGTTTTCAGAAAGTAGGGCAAAAACCCAACTCACTCAGGGACTGGAGTCAAGGCTGCACTGCCCAGTCTTTGTCACCTCAACACACACACAAAAACTGAGTTTGCAGCTGGCCCAGCTTCACTGAGGACACAGGGCAGAGAATGGAGCAAGGACAGCAATCCACAGGCAGGGGCTGCGCTCTCGTCCTCAAGTGAGCAGGGCAAAGGGCGACACACATGTCCCACACAGACTGACACTACTTTCAATGACTCTTGGCAGTTTTCAGCACCCGCAAGGTGCCTGCTCTATTAACTAGTTAGTACCCACCAGGAGGCCCAGGAGTAGCTTCTGCCCAGACCTCACTCATTAATTCTCGTGCATTCATGTCTCACCTTCAAGCAGCATGCCTACAGTACACCTGTCAACTGTTACCATGATAGTGCTGCTGATCACCCCTCTTGAATGCCAGTTTGTCCAGGAAACAGAGCTCCAGTAAGACAAGGGCAGCATTCTCTAGAATAAAGGGAAAGGGCTTTCCTACTTTTTGCTTACAAGAGGAGCATGCAAACAGGGTCAGACTAACCAAAGTCATTCCCACGACTAAACTAAAACTATTAAAACAAAACAAAAACCTGGGCATTGGCTCAGTGATCAATGCAACCATAAGGACTGGAGTTCTGACACCAGGACCCATCTAACAAGTTGGGCATCCTGTGAACACTTGTAAGCTCAGCTATAAGTAGGGCAGAGACAGGAGATTGCTGGAACTTTCAGGCTTCCAAGCTTAGCCAAGGAAACAAGCTTCAGGTTTGGAAAAGGTCCTGCCTCAAAGGAATAAGCAGAGAATGATAGAAGACAGCTGATACCTTGTTTTTTTTTTTTTTTTTTTTTGGCATTCACATGCACACGAAGACACAGACCCTCACACACATATGCATGTATATGCACGCGCACACATACACACACTTTAAATTTTTTTTTTTTTCGGTATGAATGTTTTGTCTGTATGTACATTTGTGCACTAAATATATGGAGTGCCTATGGAGTTGAGAAAGAGGCATCAGAGCCTCTGGAACTCGAGTTACAGACAATTTGAGTTGCCAATTGGAGCTGGGAGCTGAATCCGGGTCCTCTGCAAGAACAGTCAGTGCTCTTAAGTGCTGAGGCATCCCCTCTCAAGCCCAATAAACATGTTTGAAAAAGAGCCTGGAAGGTGGGGAGAGATAGCTCAATGGGTAAAAAGTAGTTGTCGGACAGGTGTGAGAATATGAATTCAAGACTCTGGAACCCACATAAAAGCTGGACATAGTAGCATAAGCTTCTGTAGTTCCAGTGCTCCCATCTGGAGACAGAAAGAGACAGGAGAATCCCGGAAGCTCATGGGCTAGGCAATCCGAGATACAGAGCGAAAAACAATAAAGAGATCCTATTTCAAGCAACGTGGAAGGTGAGGACCAACATGTATGCTGTGGTATGTATGTATGTTCATTTTCACATATATGAAAATGCATATACACATGTACAGGTGATTCCCTTGTCACTGAGAGAAGGAGGCCAACCTTGGTGACAGAGTTGAGACATCACGACTTGGATAACATCTTCTGGTTACTTCTATCTACTCATGCATGAACTAGGGCTATCTCTGAACCCATCTGTAATTTCCCTTGGGTGAAGGCAGCTCAGGTTGGGTTTTGGCACCTGTGATCGCCCTGATAACAGACGGCTGGCTCAATAAATGACAGTGGCAATCACAGTGGACTAGACTGAGATGAGCTTTAGTTCTCATTTTCTCACCAACTGGCTGCACTGGAACAAATTCTTTCCTCCTCAACCAAATGGGAGAGCTTTTCCATTTGGAAGAACCACACCCCAGAATTCCCAAGCCTCGGGCCTCCTAAGTAGAGGGCTGGGCTTCACTGGAAGACTTCTATTTCCACCTATCTCATTTTACCCATGCCTTCATGGGGTGATTATAAAGGAAGACTGCAGACAGGGCTGGAGAGATGGCTCATGGGTAAGAGCACTGGCTGCTTTGGCAGAGGACTGGAGTTCAGTTCCCAGCACCCACACAGTGGCTCACATGCTCCAATGCCCTTTCCTGACCTCCACCAACACAGGCACATACACACATGCAGGCAAAACACTCATACAACAAAAATTAAAATCTTTTTAAAAAGACTCTGTGCTGGTTTGAATAGGTATGGCCTCCTTAGATTCATACATTTGAATGCTTGGCCCACAGGGAGTGGCACTATGAGGAGGTGTGGCCTTGTTGGAGGAAGTGTCACTGTGGAGGCGGGCTTTCAGGTCTCCTATGCTCAAGCTATGCCCATTACAGTCCCCTTCTGCTGTCTGCTAATCAAGATAATAGAACTCTCAGCAACTCCTCCAACACCATGTCTGCCTGCACACCACCATGCTTCCCACCATGATGACAATGGACTAAAACTGTTGAAACTGTAAGCCAGCCCCAATTAAATGTTTTCCTTTATAAGAGTTGCTCTGGTCATGGTGTCTCTTCACAGCAATAGAAACCCTAACTAAGATAGACTCTGGGTTGGGTGCAGTGGCACATGCCTGTAATCTCAGCACTCTGGGAGGCAGAGGTAGGTGGATCTCTGAGTCCAAGGCCAGCCTGGTCTACAAACTGAGTCCAGGACAGCTAAGGCTACACAAAGAAACCCTGTTTTGAAAAAAACCAAAAACCAAAACAGACAGACTCTGAGATAAAAGAAGATTCAGAAACCTACTAACAAGATAATTTGGGGAGTTCTCAGGAACCAAGGGAACCCTACGAAAGCACCTCTTTACTTTAACTGTGTCCTGAGCAAGCACCTATTGACACAGTGAAGAACCTGAATTCCTGAGCATTCAGAGAGAAACCACAGTCCCAGGTGGAGGAAGTCAGGCTCCAGAAGGGAGGAGGGGCATGGGAATGTATGCATTTGAGGACGAGTGGGATGAGCTATTGGGCCATAAGCAGCAGCAAGACCAGGTGACTCCTGGCACTAAGGGATCCTGACAACAACTAGAAAAGACTTGGTGAAAGAGTAGGCAAGGAATTTCAGTAGCCTTATAAAATGGTGCAGAAATGCTCTGAGTTGGTAGAGAAAACTGAAGTGGGGCCAGTTTGACCTTCTAAACCCTAAACCCTGCCCTTTGTCTCTTCTGTTGCTATTCATGTATATCTTTTAAACTATCCTTTGTAAGGGATGGAATGTAGTTCAAAGACACGATGCTTGAGTAGCATATCTCTATCTCCACCACCATCTCTCATTCAGGAAGCTGAGGCAGGATTGTTATAAAGCCAAGGCTAGACAGGTCTCTAGAGCATGCCTGTTTCAATAAATAGATAAAATTCTTTGTGACAAGTAGGAAATCTAGAAAGTATTTCCCTGAATTTTGTGAGTCCCTCTAGCAAACGGCCCAGAGGAGAGCGTGGGCATGGGATTATAGGAAACTCTGAGCTGTAACAAAGTCAGAATTCTTGGCTAATCCAGGGACCTACTGCGCATCTGGCATCTACTGTAGAGGGCAGCTGGGGTGAAGGCTATGAGGCTCCCCTAACTCTGGGACACTGGTGTTAGAACTGCGCTACACTGTAGGGCACCCGGTTAGGATCTTTAGAGTTGGTGGAAGTGCTAGTATGGGAAAAGCTCCTACATAACTGGTGACAGGAGTGCAGGAAACCCTAGGTGCGAGCTTAGAGACAGACAGCAGGCCTTCTGTATTCAACACAGTGGAAGAGTATGGAGGAACTCATGTGATGAGCTGTCCCTAAGGTTGGCTTCCAGGGTCACGCTGGATGGGCAGCACAGCAGCCTCAGGAGGTCTTTTGCCTGCTTGCTTTGTACCATGCCCATCTCCAAGCCTACCAAAGCCCAGGAAAGGAGGGGAACTGACAGGAAAGGGAAGTACTCACCTTTGGAAAGAGGCCATTCGGTCTTTGAGCACCTGTACAAAGGGGAGGATCCAGTGATGTCGGAGAACCACGCTCTGAGACAGGCTGAGGTGGAACTCCTCCATCCTCACCAGGCGGGGCATGAACATCTGAGCTCGGGGCAGCAACAAGTCAAGCAGATCCAGGAACTCTTCCTTCACTTCATCTAGAGAAAGAGAAGGGAGGATGGACTGCCCTCTTAGCCAAGCTGTCACAAATGGAGAAAAAGCCCAGGGAGCAGAGAAACTCTTTAGTCTGGTTTCAGGAGTAGCCTATGTCTATACAACCTACCGGTATTTTAATGTGAATGTCCCTTCAAACAAGCTTACTATGATGAAATGTTTGTGGAATCACACAACACTACTTTCCAGAACTGGTGCTTTCCTTGTACCTTGTTTGTACAGGGTCTCTCTTGTCTTTGCTGTGGGGCTGTGGCATAGCTGGCCTGTGAGCATCTCTGTGCTTCTCCTATCTCTGCCACATCTGGATGGTAGGAGTGCTGGGATTATGGATGCCTCATTCATCTGGCTTTTTACTGAGTTCCAGGGATCAGACTAAGTCATCAGGCTTGCATGCCAAGCACCTTTACCTGCTGGGCCACCTAAATCTTACTGTGAATTAAAGTAAAAAAAATTACTTATGTATGTAGTGTTCTGTCTGCATGTATGTATGTGTACCATGTATGTGCCTACTAGTGCCTGTAGAGTTCAGAAGACGGTGTCAGATTCCTTGGAACTTGAGTTATTGGTGGTTTCGAACTACCATGTGGTTGCTGGGAATTGAACCCAGATCTTCTGCAAGAGCAATAGGTGCTTTTAACCTCTGAGCCATCTCTCCAGCCTTCAATATGGAATTCTGACTGTAGAGTTAACATGTACTCATTATAAGAATTACAGTTAAAAAGAAGTGCACAGTGGGTGGGGAGTATCTGGGGGTCTAAGGGCAGTCAGGCAGAAGAGGAAGGGGTGAAGGAGGTCAAAATGTATGCATGGATGAAATTCTCATAAAAATCAACAAAAATATTATTATCAAAAAGGGAGTGCTGCAATGGCTCAGCATATAAAGGCTCCTGCTGCCAAGTCTGGTGGCCAGACTTGTGATCCCTGGGACCACAGGTATAAGGAGACCACGGACTCCTCCAGGTTGTTCTCTGATCTCCACGTGTGTCATGGCATGCATGTGCCATATACATACATGCAGTCAATAAATAAGTAAATGTAAGTAAAACAGTGTTTAAAAAGATGAATGCAGGGGACTTCTGGTGTCTAGTCCAGGCTATAGGAAACTCAGCTGTTGTCCACAAGAAGCAAAATTCTCACCAAACTGAAAAAGCAAAAGCTCTTCACAGAGCTGTGAGAAGCAAGGCCATTGGCACATGAAATGTGCACATGACCAGATCAGAAACTCCTGAGCTGACACTTCCCCAGGAGCAATTTGCAAATTTATTATTATTATTAATTTTACATGCATTGGTGTTTTGCCTGCACATATGTCTGTGTGTGTGTGGGGGGGGAGTTGAATCCCCTGCAACTGTGGCTATAGACAGTTGTGAGCTACCATGTGCAAACTGAATTCAGTTCCTCTGGAAGAGTAGCCAGTGCTCTTAACAGCTGAGCCATCTTTCCAGCCCTGCAAATATTTTTTTAATTCAGTGAAAACACAACTTGTTAAGATTTGTAGGCTGTAGCTTAAGAGCTTTATAAGGATTCTTCCAGCATTAAAGGCATGTATTTGATCTAAACCAATGGTCAGGCACTGGTTTTTGACCATTCGCCTTTAGTAAGTGACTCACATGGTATGTAAATGTGGGTGGCCCAGTTGCCTCGCTCATGGGGAAAGGTGCGAATGCGCCCTCCGTGCTTTGCGCTGTCATCCTCAGGTCCCTCCTCTGTGCTGGAGAACATGTTCAGTACACTGTCAGGCACTGGAAACCTCTGACTGGGAAGGGGGCTCTGGCCACTGCAAACCAAGAAAGGGCAAGCATTTATTCTCTTCCCATTGTCCCCCTTTGCACGTACAACACAAGTTCTAAGCCCTTAGGCACAGTGCTTCTTTCTACAGCAGCCTGGCATGTAGTCCAGGCTGGCCTCGAACTTGATTCCCTTCCCTCAGCCAGTGGCTGAGTTGTGGATTTCCAGGCAGGTGTTTGAGCTTCATCTAGGCGGCAATAGCTTTCTAGAACTACTGAAGTTTCCCAGCTACTCTGAGGCAGAACTTAGTGGGGCGTTTGGTCCCCATGGAAAACACCTGAGCAGGTAGCAGTGTGACTTGGAGGTCCTTATTACCTTGCTGGACAGGCCTGAACTGAAGAGCACTGTGATCCTGGCTTACAGTAATTTCCTCGTGTGTAAAGCACATTTGTATTTGTCAGAGCTCTTATGCAATGATCTGACATACTGCAATCTGTAAAGACGGGTATTTAAGAACCTGAGGCCCGTAAAATATATGATGCTCATGGGTTTTGTGGCAGTCTGGACTGTTCATTCTCCAGTGTGGCTCCCAGTGGCTGTTCATTGAGTATTTACTAGATGAGTGAAAAGCTTTGGTTATTATTGCATTGTGTTCAAATGAAGAAACCGATCTTGGAAGAAACAAGCTTGCACACCAAGGGAGAAGAATGTACCAGCGGAGAAGGCTAGACTCGAACCCGTGTCCTCACTCCCAACTTTGCCTAGGCTAGGGGTAAGGGGTGAACGGGAGCGGGGACGGGGGGGGGGGGGGGAATGTCGTCTGTCACTCCAGGGCTTTTCCAGAGTGTGTTCTGAACCCTTTCCTTGGGCGTCCTTTTTTTCCTTCCCGGGGAACCGACCCACCCTCCCGGTTACCCCGGAGGCGAGGGTCCCACTGGGATCTCGAAAGAATCGCGCCCTCGCGAGAGAAACTTCCTCGCTCCTCACCAACGGCGGCCCCCAGACCCCGCTTTGGTCCGTCCCACGGCGGCGGCCTCCGCCTCATCCTCCGAGCCGCTGCTGCTGTAGCCCACCAGGGGCGCCGCGCTCATGGGGCTTTGACCGCAAGTCAGGTCCGCAGGCAACCTCAGCCGGTGCTCGGAGTTCCGCTGAGCCGGAAGTGCTCTGTGGGGCGGGACCTAGAGGAGCTCCACCTCGGGGCCGGGGCCCGGCGACCCGGGGGGCGGAGCCCGCTGGACGGTCGCGCAAACGGAGCCCGTCGGCTGGGCGGTAAGTGCCGCAGGCGGCTTCCCGGAGCCCTTCGGAGCCCCGGTGTCTGCGGGTCCGCTTGCCAGACGTGCACAAAGTTGGAGTTCCAGGATCCCTCCTGAGAGCGAGCCGAGCGGCACGTCGGCCGCCGAAGACCGGAGAGCCGGGTGGGGCTCGGCGAGCTGGGGCGGGGCCGGCCTCGGCGCCTGGGCTCCGTGAGCTGCGGCGAGCGCGTCCGGAGGTTCCAGCCCCGCCCCTCCGTACTCACAGGCTCGAGCCGCCGGGGCGCAGGGTCCCCGCCAGGGGGCGGCCTCGCTCTGCGCAGCGGACTCCTCGGCAGCCTCCGCCCGGGCGGCCGCTCCTCCTCCCCGGCCCCGCCTCCCCGGCCTCGCGCCGCCCGCCTATCCGCCGGTGTCTGCAAGACAGTCAGTCTGTCCGCTCGCCCGTCCGTCCGCTGCCCCGGTTCCGCTAGCCCGAGTGCGCGAGTCTGTTCGTCGGTTCCGGCCACCACAAACCTGTCTCCCGACCCCGGGCAGCCCTGCTCTGCTACGCGAGGCCGGGGATTGGCAGGGAGCGTAGGCCGCGTCGCGGCGGATGGAGCCGGAATAAAGAGGCGGCGGAGAAAGCAGCTGGTCTCTGCTCGCCCCGCGCCTGACCCCACGGGCGGCCTGGAGCAGGTGAGCGGCAGGGCGCCCGGGACTGCATCTGAGAGCCACTCCCATGCCTACTGCACTCCGGGAGAACCTCCTGAGCTCTGTGGCGGCTCAGGCTGGGCCTGGAAACATAGTTGCTGCCCCGGCACGGTTGGAGGCTTCGGGGCCTTCCTCGGCCCGAACCACCCTTTCTCGGGACTCAGCAGCTGGGCCATCGGGAGCAAGAGCTGACAGGAGGCAGCCCAACCGGGCCTGATGGGAGATGATCAGCTTTCATTCAGTTACCCGGAGAGGAAGAAGGGCTGGGGTGGGGCGCAGGTTGGGGGGTTCTCCTTGCCTTGCCTCCACTACTCTCCTGCCCTTTGCGGAGTGATCTGAGAGTGCTCCTGGGGCTTCACCTTCCTGGAGAAAGCTCAGGGTAGACGGTGGGGTTGCTCCAGGAGGTGGGAGTGGGGGTGGCCGCTGGGGCTGGCAGCCATTCATACCAGGAAAAATAGCACAGTTGGCTTGGTACAGCTAGATCAGACAGAGTATAGAGCAGTCCACCTTTCCTGTGTGCCTTAGGAACGCTAAAATGACCAGTTGTAGCTGTTTGGTCACCAGAGCAGCAGCCCCCTTGTTCCCTCCCCTCCCGAAGATGCTGAGGATGACAACTTTTAGCGTGAGTCTTAGGTTTCTCTAGCAGAACAGTTAAAAGGCAGGCTGGCATGTGAGGGCATTCTCTGCCTTCTTCCTCCTAGAGAGAAAACTTGCAAAATTTTAAATCTAAGCGGCAGATGAGCTGAGAACCTGGCAAGGGTTGCTTTTAATTCCAAAAGTTTCTCCCTTTCTCTGGGATTATTATACGCCGCCTCAAAATGGTGACTTAGAGATTTGCTGGGGTTGGGTGGGCTTTGCTTTGCATTAATTATTGTGAATGTTTTGGACCTGGAGGAGAAACACCCTGTGGCATGCTTTCTCCTGTTTAACTCCGGCAAATAGTACAGTTTCTTGACTTGACAGCAAAAGACTCAGAGGATGTGGGGTTTCTGTTTGTGTTCCTCTGGGAGCCAACTAAAAGGCAGAAGTTCAGCTTGGAGGAGCTCTACCATGGGGTGGGGGGTGTCTATAAACCTGTCATTTAACCCTTCGTGCCAGGAGTTCAGGTCCCTGCAAGGCCATTCACCCTGTTAATATCTAGAGATGTGTGTACCCTGGGAAAGGCCTGGAGTGTGGGTGAAGAGGAGTATAGACCAGTCCCTCAAAGAAGAGGGGTTTTAGGTGGTCCTTAATATTGTCTTAATAGTAGCTTCCAGAGTCCATCTGCCCGAGGACTCATACCTCGGAGGAGTGGCTTCCTTCTGCTGGAGGATCCTCTGGTCCATAAGCAGTGCTATTCTCATGTCAGTGTAAAAGGGGCTGGCAGGCTTGAGGGATAGTTCAGCCCAGACCCTGTGAGACATCTGACTGAGTAGGTCGTATGGAAACTAGAGGGAGATGCTCTACCCAAGGATTGGGGAACTGAAGAACATGGGCGTGGAAATAACTCCCTTCCTGTTTGCTTGGAGGAGTGGCGCTGCCAGCATACCTCTGATAACATGTGAAGGGAGCAGGTCTCTAGCCATGAGCATCTCCCTCGCCTAAAGCATCATGTGTCCATGCAGTGACTGCGGGCAGCACAGGGAGAGATAAGGGAAGGGCCCACTTGTTCCTGCCTCAAGTTCACTGTGTCTCTCTTCCCTACAGAACCGATTACTGGGGAAGGCAGAGCCATTTTGGCATTGCTGGGAGCCTGTCTCGAAGAGCCCCCTGTCCTGTAGGCTATCTTCTTGCCTAATGACGAGGGCTATCTGACCAGCCCTCTGTGCCTTGTGTGAGGTTCTTGTCCGTTCCTGAGAGCCGGTAGCTTCTTTCTCAGGGTTGGGTTCACCTTAAGCTGGGAAACTGAAGCCATTACTGTCCAAACCCAGTTTCATCTTTCCAAGTATGTCGGAAAGCTGGCAACAGCCACCACAGACTCAGCCACAACAGCCACAGCAGCCACAGCCTCAGCACCATGCAGAGCCACCGCCAGCCCTGGCTGAACACACGTTGCCCCCAGGCACTGCTGAGAACCCACTGGGCTGTGCTGTCTATGGCATACTCTTGCAACCTGACCCAGGACTTCAACCCCCACAGCATGCTCCCCTGCAAGCAGGGGAGCCAGGCCCCAAGTGTGGTGTATGTGGCCATGATCTGGCACACCTCTCCAGTCCAAACGAGCACCAGTGCCTGGCAGGCCATGACCGCTCCTTCCAGTGCACACAGTGTCTCAAGATATTCCATCAGGCCACCGACCTGCTGGAGCACCAGTGTGTGCAGGCGGAGCAGAAGCCTTTTGTCTGTGGTGTTTGCAAGATGGGCTTCTCGCTGCTCACCTCTCTGGCCCAGCACCACAGCTCCCACACTGGCATGGTGAAGTGCTCCATCTGTGATAAGACCTACAAGCCCGCCGAGGCTGCTGAGCCGGCCACCACGACTGCCCCATCGCTGCCCCCTGTGCCCCCGACCACTACTGTAGCCCCCTCGGAGCAACCGGAAAAGCCCTATAGCTGTACCATTTGCCAGAAACCCTTCAAGCACCTGTCGGAGCTCTCAAGGCACGAGCGGATCCACACGGGAGAGAAGCCGTACAAGTGCACGCTGTGCGACAAGAGTTTCAGTCAGTCCTCACACCTCGTGCACCACAAGCGGACACACAGCTCTGAGCGGCCCTACAAGTGCGCCGTCTGCGAGAAGACCTTCAAGCACCGCTCCCACCTGGTGCGGCACATGTACGCGCATTCCGGCGAGCACCATCTGTTCCGATGCAACGTGTGTGAACTGCATTTCAAAGAGTCGTCAGAGCTGCTGCAGCACCCCTGCACCCCGAGCGGGGAGCGGCCCTTTCGCTGCGGCGAGTGCCAGAAGGCCTTCAAGCGGCCTTCGGACCTGCGGCAGCACGAGCGCACGCACAGTGCCGAGCGGCCCTTCAAATGCGACCTGTGTCCCATGGGCTTCAAGCAGCAGTACGCACTGATGCGGCACCGGCGCACGCACAAGACGGAGGAGCCCTTCAAGTGCGGCCTGTGCGAGAAGGGCTTCGGGCAGCCCAGCCACCTCCTCTACCACCAGCACGTCCACACCCTGGAGACTCTCTTCAAGTGCCCGGTGTGCCAGAAGGGCTTCGACCAGTCGGCTGAGCTGCTGCGGCACAAGTGCCTGCCAAACTCTACCGAGCGGCCCTTCAAGTGCCCGGTGTGTAACAAGGCCTACAAGCGGGCATCTGCCCTGCAGAAGCACCAGCTGTCTCACTGTGCCGCGGCCGAGAAGCCCCTGCGCTGTACCCTGTGTGAGCGCCGCTTTTTCTCCTCCTCAGAGTTCGTGCAGCACCGCTGCGACCCTACCCGGGAGAAGCCGCTCAAGTGTCCGGACTGTGAGAAGCGCTTCAAGTACGCTTCCGACCTGCAGCGCCACCGGCGGGTGCACACGGGTGAGAAGCCCTACAAGTGCCCCAACTGCGATAAAGCCTTCAAGCAGCGCGAGCACCTCAACAAGCACCAGGGAGTACATGCCCGGGAGCAGCAGTTCAAGTGTGTGTGGTGTGGCGAACGTTTCCTGGATGTGGCGCTTCTCCAGGAGCACAGCGCCCAGCACAGCGCTGCTGCTGCAGCTGCGGAGGGTGCCTACCAGGTGGCGGCCTGTTTGCCCTAGGGCCTCCGTGCCGCCTCCGGCCCTGCCTAGTCTCGCTTGCTTGCAGCTACGTGGCCGCAAGCCTGTCAACCAGCTCTCCTCTCTGGAGTGAGGACCAAAGGGTTCTGGGCAGGTAGAGGGTGCCCGTGTTCAGTACTCCTAGCACCAGCCCGGCTGTGGGGAAGCCAAACTGCTGTGGCCAGACCCCGATTCCATTAACCTCTTCTCCGTGACAGGACTTGCTTTCTGAGAGCCTGCTGTGCCCCTTATCTATAGGGAACTTGAATCCCACCTGTTACTAGGTGCCTCTCTGCCCCAGGTATGGGGGATGTCAACTGGTTTTCCCAAATCTTGCAGCCTAGTGAGAAGTCAGGTGGCTTGGGAAGGAGAAGTAGGGTTTCTCCTCCAGTGCTTTTTTTCTGGGGGTGGGGGGGAGGGAAGGCCAGTTTTGTGTCAGTTCTGGGGACTTAGAATTTAGACCATGAGCTACAATCCTCTGACTGCCCGGCTAGGACCGATGTTCACCAATTCCGAGTTTCTGGTGGTTGGATATATAGGATAGGAGTCTGTGGGCTGGGTCTGCTTGGGGACTAGGGACCCAATCAGGGTAAGGGAAGCAGAAACATTTCACAGCACCCTCAGGTCATTCAGTGCTGTCCACAGGGAAAGGGACAAGCAGCTGCGTGCTAAGAGCAGTCCTGGGTCGGTGGAAGCCCCTCCCCCCTCCTGCCTATGAGTAGGTGCAGGGGATGAATGTGTCCTTAGTAGAGCTGCTGTTGTGGAGGGATAGGACTGTTGCTCCCCCTTGTACTCCATCCCTGGGATGGGGAAGGAGGACCAAGTCCACGATTTCTCCAGCAGATAAGAGCAGGTCCCTTCTTCCCAAATTGTGTGATCCTAAGTGTCTGGGGCTCAGAGTCATAGCTTCAGTTTGTCCCAGTGCTGCCTGAGGGCCATATGGAGTCCTGGGTGCCCAGGATGAGGAATGGCCTCTGACCCCACAGAGCCCCTCTAGCCCAGTCTGGTACCCTGAGCCATCAGTCTGGCTGTGGGCTAAGGATCTTCTGTTGCCAAAACAACCTTCTGTCCTTAGAGTCCTAGAGTACCCCTAGGTCTTTGACTGCTGACAACCTGCCTCTTATAGCAAACTTGGGGATACAAGGATAGAGGAGCCTAGTAGGCAGCATTCTTGGCAGGCACATGGTCAGCCACCATCACTGGACAGCTAGAGCCACCTCAAGAGCCTGGGGGACCTTTGTTGTCAAAGTCATCGTTCTGAACCCAGCCCTGACCATGCCCTTTTTAGCCAGCCCCCTCTCCCTATCCATGAGTCTTGAAAGAAGACTGACCAGGACCCAAACCAAGGGCCTGATGGCTAGGAGTACATCACCTCACCTCTTATCTTAAAAAGTCCAGCTGGCCTCATGCACCTGCTCTGTCTCCCAGGTTCTGTCCTGTGTCCACAGAGACAGGTAAGCATTTACCTTGGGCTGACTCTTGGTCACAAAAGCCTCAAAAGACTGGAACTCAGTCCTAACTGCTATTTTTTTCCCTTCCATTTTGCATTCTAAAAGCAATTTGTTATACTATTCATAACATTGTATAGCTGAATTTCATGTCATTTTGGATCATATATAAATATGAGTTTGGAATTTAAAAAGAATGACTCCATCTTAGGCAGCCACTTTTGATGTTACTCTACAGTGAGCTTGATGTGTGCTCTAAAAGTAAAGACATTGACAGTGCACCCCCAGCTCTTCACTCGTTCTTTCCAGCGGGAATGATGGGAGGTGCAGAGGCTGAGAGTGATACAGACCAGAGTACCAGATTGGGTCTAGGCTTGAATCCTGAGCTTTGAGGCTTCTGGGCTGTATGACCTTGGACTGGTCACTTAACCTCTTTGGGTCAGTCGCCTCATCTGTCAAAAAACTTAGTGGGTGGTTAACTTGTCTAGCTGTTGGGAGAACTGCATGGACTCATCGTAGGGACTCTGAGGAGAAGCTATTGACAGGCTGACAGGCACCAAAGCAATATACCTCACTCCACCTGATTTTAAGGTTTAGCAGTAGCTCTTGAGGGAGCTGGACTGTAAGAGATCAGCAGCTCATGAAAGGCCAGAAGCTGGAGATGGACAAAAAATAATATTTTTTTTTTTTTTACTCTGGTGCTCTCTGGAATAGTGGTGGATCCACCTAGCCTGGCTGGCCCACACTTATCCATTTGGTCTGCCCTACAGTGATCCCCCTCTGTAGACCAAGCCCAGTACCCTTTACCTCAGTCCTTCCATACATTTCTACATACTCCATCCTTGCTTCCCCCGCCTCCCCCGCAGTCCATCTGAAACTCACATGCCTTCCACTTCTCAAAGGCCAGAGTGAGGCTGAAGAGACAGAAAAATAGTCCTCAGCCTGGCATTTGAGAACCAAGGACACCCTGTCCTAGAAAAGATTAGAAAGTTCAAAGGACATGGAGCTGGCCATATGACAAGTACTTAAAATTGTGACTGGACCCCATGCTTCTCCCATTCCCTATATGGCTTCCTGAGAATCCAGAAGGTTCCTTCCTATAGGCTGCTAGCACTCAGCAGCCAAGAGCAGGGGACCTTTTTATCTGTGCCAGTTTCAAGGGCCAACTTATTTTCTACTTATGTGGCCTGGATAAAACTCCACTTGGTGGGCAAGATAGGCCTGAACAGCCTTTGTCCATACCATTTGGAGTCTGAGGGATTATTCAAGACACACAGCGCTAAGTGGCCTAGAGCTGCACACAGATGAAAGACAATGTGGCCACGGCATCCCTGACAGTCTGGCTCCAGGTCGCTTTTCTCGTCAGGACTGTTCTGGCACCCAGTCTGGCCAGGGAATCAAGGCAACAAAATGCACCCCCTGACCCCAGTGGGTACTCAGCCCCTCTATCCAAGCTGATGTCTACCTCCCCATGCAGGAAGAGAGAGAGGTAGGTCCTTAACGGCTGTGCCTCCTAGCACTGTCATGAAAGGTCATCTCCAATCTGCACTTCTCCAGAGCAGTCCTCGTCCCATCCTATGGGAATCCACCCAAGCCCTCAGCCTGGTGACAAGACCTGCATCCCACCCTCAAGCGAGTGGTCACCCCCACCTCCCCACAGGAAGAGTCTTGTCTGCTATCAGTCTGTCTCCAAAGGTAGATGCTGTAGTATCCGGTAAAAGTCAGTCTGTGTGTGGTGGCAGGGGTGTGGGATCTCCCTCTTCACTATGACCTCGCCCCACCCTGGCTTTGTATTCCTGCCTTTCCTTCCTCCCCGACCATAACTGAGCACCTGCCAGACTTAAGACAACTTCAGATGAGTGAATTGAAAGGGCTTCGTAAGAAGTGAGTAGGGGCTGAGGGGAAGGCTCAGTGCCTGCTGCCCAGGCGTGAGATAGCCAGCACCTACAGTGTAACCCCGGGCTGAGTGGGGGGAACACAGCTACCATGAGATAGTGGCCGCCACTGGCACATCTGAGAGTGTTCTGTGTCTGTGTTTCCCAGGCTAGTCTCAAACTCCTGGGGTGTCAGTCATGCCTTACTCTCCATATCATCCAGTGTATGTCACCAGTCTTGGCTTCTTAGTTTTCCAATGGGACATCTCTTCCTTCTAAGAGCCAGACCCATGTCTCCAGCCCCAGGAAGACCCTCTGCTTTCCTCTCCACTCTTGGTGTGTTCCTCAGAGCAGGAAAGAAGTGGATGTGATGGTCACAGTCTCACTGCCTTCAAATCCCAGCCTTGCTGGTCAGCGGCTGTCTTAATCTAGGGCTAATCACAACTCCCTCTAGCCTATTTATTTAGATTTATGCAAATGAGTGTTTTGCCTGCATCTATATCTATCTAGACAGGTAGATAGATAGATAGATAGATGCACCACCTGTGTGCCTGGTGCACCTGTAGGTCAGAAAAGGATGTTACATCCCTAGGAACTGGAGTTAAGATGGTTCTGAGCCTCCATGTGGGTGCTGAGAACTGAACCTGGGTTCTCTGGAAAAGCAGCCAGCATTCAACCTCTGAGCCATCTCTTCACCCCCAAGTCCATTTATTTAACCAGCTATAAAATGGATTTAAACGGCTTACCTCATGGGGCCTGTGAAGCACTTGAAAACTTAATAAAATGGATACACTCAATTGCTTTTGCTTATGCTTTCTACTCCCTTTATTCTCAGGCACAGTTTTTATATCATATTTATGAACTTGGTATTAGATGTATACCAGTGGAAGACCCAAGAGCTGTCCTAACATTGCACCAGGCTGTGAGACCCTCTTCACCGGGGTTCCCCTGCTCCTAGGCCATCATGTTCATCACAAAAGGGCAGCACATTGAGGAGCCCAGGATGTTTTCAAGCACCCTTACCTGGTTTATATTTGAAATCTGCTGCTTCATGGGAAATAGAGGGCCCAAAACTAACTATTCACGTCCCTTTGGGGAAGCTCTGGGTATCAGAAAACTCCCAAATACACTAGTATGGTAAGGGTTCCTAAAGGTGTCAGATGCCCCTCTCAACCCTTCCTTTCCTCAGTGCTCAAACTCAGGTGGAAGTTAGAAATGCAGGATCTTGGTTAGGATTTGCAAGCAAGAGGCGGGACCATTAGGGAAACCCAGATCCCAGCCTGCCCTTGTGCCTCAGTCCCAGCTAGGCTTGAGACTCAGGCCTTGTTACTCTACCCAAGTCCATAAAACATCCCTCACCAGCCCTTACACACCCTCTCCCGTTCTTTAGGAATTGCCAAACAGCAGGCAAGGGTAAAACTGTCATCTGTGGTCCTGACCCCCACCTCTGGCTCCCCCTCCCTCTCAAGGACTCTCACACAGAGGCCTAGGGCTTCTCTGAGGAAGCATTGGGTTTATTTCTTGAACTGAACTCCTGAGGAGATGGGTGGTGCCACCATATTCCGTCTGCCCTGCTAGGGAACTTGAAGTGGCACAGTCCAGCAATAGAATCCTTTTCCCCCACAAAGATTAATGCCAGGGTGTCAGATAGTTGATTCGACTGTAAAGAGAAAGAGGCAAGAAAAATCAAATTTTCTTTCCCTAGCCCCACTCCCACTCCCTACCCCAAAGCCCACATCTCTGCCCTCAGGGCTCTGGAAACAGTTCCCATCCAGTCTTTGCCCAAGAACCTTAAATGGTTCCCTATTTCCTCTTGTATATTTTTGGCAATTCTCTTCACCTCCAAATTACCTCATAGTATTTCTCGCTGCCTCCCCAATGATAACTGCTTCCTGGGTTTGCAGTTGTGTATGAACCTACTCTAGCATCACACTAACAAAAACCAAAGTTTTCCCGCATATGGGCTGGAGAAGGCAACCCACTGGATGCTATGCGCTACAGGTGAAACAGTAGTGTGCGCTGTAGGAAGAGGTAGGGTGTTTGGCTGTGCCAGTGGGAGGGGTCGCACCACAGAGTTTGGCATTGCCAATTCGCACAGGGCCTGGCTGGAGAGACACCTCAGTGTCTATCAGCACTTCCACCTTGCACGGAGCCTTTAACCCAGGGTTACCCTGCTAGGGGAGCAGATGGCAGGTCCTTCCTCCTCCACCCTCCCAGGTACCCCCCTTCCGGCCTCCTCTTGGCTAATCCTGGTGGGAAATGCATCCCTAGCCCATGCCCTTTAAGCTGGGTGTGGAGCACCAGCAGCATCCTGAAGCGCGCCTCCTCAGGGGGCGTGGCATGCTGCGGTCAGGGCGGGGCCATTCTTTACCTGTAGTGGGAGCCAAAGCGCCGGAACGCGTTCCTGCCAAAGAAAAGTATTCCTGAACCCCGGCTCCCAGAGCGTGGGGGTGGCAGGCACTCGCAGGAATTCAGTATCTGTCCTACAGCTACGATCCCCGTCCTCTGCTCAGCGGTGGGGGTCTTTAAGGAGTTCTGCATAGTGTCACTTACAGCGAGTCGAAAGGCAGGGGCATCTGTCCATAGCGGTCCAGGCTCGGGTTCTGGTTGAGGCAGAACTGTGGTGGACCGCAGGGATGGGGGCCCGTAAGCCTGCGAGGCGAGGAACCCAGCAGCTGCTCCCTCCCAGCCACCCAGGCCCCGTCTGCGTGCATCTTTCCCTACCCGCCAGTTCTGGGTCACCTCCGGCTTCAAGTGCCGCACAGCGTAGCCACTGAAACCCTCCACTGTGGAGAGAACCCGCCTTGGGGACCAATATCCGAACAAACCCAGTCCGCCCTCATCTAAGCCCCGCCCCTGAAGGAAGCCCCCTGCCCGTGCACTGCTTGACTCTCAAGCCCCAACCCCAGTGGCTTCCCTACCTGGAGTTACATCAGGGGCCCTCCCCTCTCCTCCCTTCCCTGTCCCTGTGCCTGTGCTGCCGGTCCTTGGGCCAGTGGCTTTCACTCCCAGATTTAGATGTGCCACCAAACTACGAGAGATTTCCCCCTCCTTAGAGCATCCTTTGCAGTTGGTAGACTAACCCCTCTTGTTGGTACAAGGCAGCTTGAACTCGTCAGACTTGGACACGAATTTAGACCAGTCTTCAATGGCATGTGTGAAGCAGGGCCAGTCAACCCGGTTGATGCCTGGCATGATGGGCACCATCTTTCCCTCACGGTACTTGTGACAGAGCTTCTGTCCAGTTCCTGACAAGTCCTACGGATTGATGGACTGATGGACCGTAGCGGCTGATGTAAAATCTTTCCTAGGCCTGAGTTGGCATTAGGCCTATTGGACTGAGGGGGTGCAGGAAACTAGGGCCTAGATCGGGTTGGGGTGGGATCTCAGGTTGGCACCTGGGGATATGCTCAGGCAGTAGAACCTTGGACCAGAGGTGCCTGGGCCTTGCACAGACGCTGCTACTGTGCCCATCCTAGGCTGGGGACAAAGGACACTCAACTCACCAGGCAATGCAGGGGTTTGTTGGGGATCCCTAGAAGTGTGAAGCTGGCCTTGTTAAAGTCATCTGTTGAAAGAAGATAAAGGTATCCTTTTGGAGCCCTACAGGCAGGCCCACGCTAGAGGCCTGGACCACACTATACACCTTAAGAGGAAAAATGTTTTGCTAGGTGTGATACCACATGCCTTTACTCCCAGCACTCAGGAGGCAAAAATAGATAGATCTCTGTAAGTTTAAGGCCAATCTTGAAACAAAAATTAGACTTTCCCCGAGGAACTCAATGATCCTGACCAACAAGAACTAAGTTTAAAGAGGTCTGTGTCTCCCTTCCCCTTTAACTTGTTTCTTCTCCTGGGGTGTTGGGGTATTGGAAGATATTGGGGTGGAGTAGGGAGGAAGAGGCATAAGAACCCCAATGAAAAGATTTTAGAAGTATGCTAACAGGCTAGCAAGAAAGATCAGTGGGTAAAAGGCACTTGTCTGCTGGTCCCGATGATCTGAGTTTGATACCTGCTCCCCACATGATGGAAGGAGAGAACTGACTCCTGAGAGTTGTCCTTGAACCTCCAAGAACCTCCAAGAATGAACCGTGGCCTGCCAGCCTGTGTGTGTGTGTGTGTGTGTGTGTGTGTGTGTGGTGTGTGTGAATAAGATAAAAAGTAAGCACAAAAGGAATCAAAAGACAAAGGGGAAATATTTCTACTGATTTTACAGATGAGGATGAAGCAATTTCCTTAATGTTGGAGGGGCTCCTAGAAATCAAGACCAAAAAGTAAAGAAACATGGATAACCACATGTTTAAGTAGTTCATGCACAAATACTAGATATAGAGCCAGCCGTGGTGGCACACGCCTTTAATCCCAGCACTCAGGAGGCAGAGGCAGGTGGATCTCTGTGAGTTCAAGGCCAGCCTGGGCTACAAAGTGAGTCCAGGGCAGCCAGGGCTATTACACAGAGAAACCCTGTCTCCCTGGGCTTCATGGCTCCTAAACATATGAAAAGACACCCAGTTTCATTCACAAGATAAATGCACATTTAAACTACATTAAGATATTTCTTCCAGTCCAGGACAGCCAAGGCTACACAGAGAAACTCTCTCTCAAAAAACAAAACAAAGCAACAGCAACAAAAAGATATTTCTTCCACTTATTAGGCCAGACTGGGAACAATGCAAAAGTTAGTACAGCTTTAAGAGATAGGTTCCTCATCATACATCAACAGAAGCTGTGTGAATTGACTAGAGCCTATAGACTACAGTTTAGTCTTCTCACTTAGCATAATTATGAATATATACATGTTCTTTGACCCCACAGTCTAGCATTGCACAAATGATGTTATAAGAAGGTGACCTATTTTCATTTTTGTAACAGGAAAAGAATGCAAGTGTCAGTCATTGAACCAAATATACCTAACTCCATTTGCACGAGGGAACTGCTGAGAATAACTTGAAAGCAGGGTGTCGTGGTGCATATCTTTAATTCTAGCACTTAAAGCCAAGGCAGGAGGATTATGCGTTTGAGACTAGTGTGGACTGTGTAGTGAGCTAGGGTATATAGCTCAATGGTAGAGAACTTGCCTACCTTGTCTAAGACCTTGTCTTCAATCCCCAGAATAACAACAACAAAAGGTATTTCATGCCCCTCCTACAGTATTAGGTCACTGGTGAGAGTCTGACCATGGGTAACCCAGCTTTAGACCCAGCTTTTGTTTAACAAAGTGAAGAACACCACAGAGCCGCCTGCCTGTGATTCCAGGGAGACATAGGCAGTCAGATCTCTGTGAGTTTGAGACCTGCCTGGTCTACAAAGTGAGTCCAAGACAGCCAAGGCCACACAGAGAAACCCTGTTCAGAAAAACAAAAACAACAACATAAAGAATGCCCTGGAAACGATTGCTGAGACTCACCAAATAGAACAGTCTACGACACTGCTGTTCGGACCCCTTTAAAAAGTCAATAGTTCATCCTTTTTCAGGGTCTGGTTGGGTAGACAGATGGAACTAAGAAGGATCATATTGAGTGAGGTAACCAAAACCCAGAAAGACAAATGTCACAATTCTCTCTCACCCGAAGTTTCTAACTTGAAGTCTTTGGTTGTGAGTATGTAACCTGGAGTAACTGCAGAAACCAGGGGAACAAAAAGAGACCACAGGATGGTGGGGGGAAGTAGAGGAGGAAATGGGAAAAACAGAGGAACATTAATTAGGGGGGGGGAGATAAAATACAAAAGGAGGAGGGAGAGGGTTGTAAAATAACAGTAAGGATGCCTGAAAAGGCATAAGGAATCATACTATTATTTAACTACATAAAAAAATATTTATAATACATGTAAGTCATTGTATAAAAATATATATGTATATTTGTATTCAAAGAAGCTGAATATAAAGCTCACCAATATGGCTGCCTATACATGACCTGTATAGGATGACACCAATAGACATTGAAGCAGGAAAGGTCACAAGGCCTCAACCATAGACAAAGAACTGCAGGCAAGTAAGAAATGCTGAGAGTGGGAGCAAAGTCTTTCCAGGAAAGAGCACACACCTGGTTATCCAATACCGAGTGGTCAGCCCTGAAAACATGCATCTGTGTAACAGTATACCGACTGAGCACATTGTATTTAGAAATATGTATGTATATATGTATGTATGTAGCAATAAGAAAAAGAGGTCATGAGTTTTAGAGAGAGCAAAGGGAAGTTCATGGGAGTATTTGAAAGGAGAAAAGTGAAGGGGGAAAATATAATCTTAAATAAATTATAATAAAAAGTCAACATACAGGAAGAAATGGAAATAGATGGAAATTTTTTATGCTAATAAGGCTCAAGACTTAACAACTTATGCATAAACCTAGATTCAATCCCCTTTCCAATTTAAGCTATAAAAGACATACTTGGAGACTCCAGGGCAGATTTTAAGGTATGTTGGTTTTTAGATGTTGTGGATTATTGTTTACTTTCCTAGGTATCACGTCACGTAGGAGGCTAACCTTGTCATTGGGAACTACCTGGCAAAGTTTTACACGCACATATGTGTGAACATAAAGGGAAGAGAGAGAAGAGAGAAAGAAAAAGAGGAGGAAGAGGAGGAAAGGGGGTTAAAAGAGAGCAGGGAAGGAGAAAGATAAAGACAGGGAAGAGAACAAGAGAGATGGCGTGTAAATACAAGCATGCTGAAACAGACTTTGGATGGGTGGCGGGAGAGGGCGCTCACAACACTACCCTTCAAACTCTTTTCCACTTGAGAATCTCTTCATAGAAAGTCAAGGAGCAAAAGGATGTGTGCCTGTATTGAGTGTGGTGGTTGGGCCATCAATCCCCACTCATCTGGAGGTTAGCAGGGAGGATAGCTCGAGCCCAGGAGTTCAAGGTCAGCCAGGACAACGTAGCAAGTCTCAAGGAAATGGTGGTGCAGGGGAGATGACTCAGTCAGTAAGGGTCTTGCTGTGTAAGCACAGGACCCAAGGTCTGGTGCCAGCATCCACCCTAGTATGGGGAGAAGGCAGGAGGATCATGGGGTTTTCCTGGCCAGTCAGCCTATCCTACCTGGTAAACTCCAGGCTAGAAAGAGATACTATCTCAAAAGCCATGGTGAACAGGAACTGAAAACACCACTAGAGGTTATTCTCTGAACTCTATGTGTGTGCACGCGGGCGGGCGCGGACACACACACACACACACACCACATGACTTAGGCCAGTATGATCAGGCATGATCGGAGACAGGAAGAGCAAGCACCGTTTAAGGCCAGCCTGGGCTACATGTTGGGACCACAACTGCATGCCAAGGACATCTTATTTTGTTAAGCCTAAAGGAAATAAATCTGTTGATGGGTCATGCAGCGCCAGGTACCCTGCTCCTCATCCTTCATAATGCCTTACATTGTCAGGGGAGGCAGGCCCTGTCCCTGTCCCCATTTTTCTGCTCAGGAAGTAGAGGCCAGACCTTGGAGGATCTTTCCGGAAGGAAGTACAGGGCTGGACTGGCCTCCCTCATTCTTTCATCTCCCACTTGTCCCCAGCCTTTTCTTCCAAGATCTCCATTTTGCCAGGTGCCCTTGCTCCAAAGGCAAACAAAAGACTCTTGGCTGCTGGGGGTGACATGGCCTGACCTTTGGAGCAGTAGGTTGAAGTTTGACAGTGCTCGTCTGGGAGGCAGCACTTGACAGTGTCCATGTCCATGCGACGGAGTGTGGGCAGGGCCGGGTGGTAGAGCTGGTGCTTCACACCAGCGAGAGGCCGACAGACGCGCTCTGTCCGGAACAGCATGGCTGGGGAGCCATCGTCACAGGGTGATAGGTCAATGATGTGGGCCATGGCTGGGGAGCAGAGGGGCTGAGTCAGGCACCCTTCCATACAGGCACACACCCTTGGCCTACATTGCTTTAACTATCCATCAAGCATTAATTATCTTCTGTGTGCAGGCTGACTTTTCAGAAGTTCCCCATGGGGCAGCAGGGACATCCGAACCACAGATGTCTGTGTGCTGGGGGTGTGTGCACATGCAACCTCCCACTCCACACACACTGCCCCCGGCGCTGTGAGGTAGGTCAGGACAGCGTGTGTGCGGATCAGGAGGACCGGAGATGCTCGAGGAACGGTCTAAATGAAGTGAAACTTAAATATCGAACAGGAAAAGGCAACAGCAAAGCCATTTAGAATTAGCTGAGTGTGCTGTGTGGCTTATAATGCTAGATAGCCTACTCTGGATTTTCCTAGACTAAACCTAGCATTTGCCACAAACGCTACAGACAGATGAGACCATTTTAAAGAAGGGAGAGAAACAGGACAGATCTGATTTAGAAAAAGATGGATGGCTACCCGGTGCTTCTCTTTTTAAAAAGCAGATAGTCCCTGGAGGCCGGCCACTCCCCTCCCCCGCTTTTCAGTCATTTGGTGAGAATTTGTTGATTCTACTTCCGAACCCCCAAGTGAAAGGTGATAAATAGAGATGGGGGCTAGGTAGGCAGGAAGAGAGAGGAACGTGACTATGGAGGATCAGGAAGGGGCATTATGATAAAGTATGGGAAAGCTGAGAGACCAAAATACACGAGGAAAGACAGTGGTAGAACAGGGAGAGAGAGGAAGAGAGAGCTCCCTGCTGCCATCTACTCAAATCCACTACCTCATCTGCAGGGCACCGCGTGCACAGGCAGGTAAGAGCCTTCTACTCAGCTGCTCGGTGGGCAGAGGAAAGGAGGTAGGCAGGCCTTGCGGGCAACTTTGGAACAAGGAGCACCATGGAGATGACGCTCATAACAGCCTGATTGTGAGGGCACAGTTCTCTGGTAACCCTGGGCAACACAGGCTGCCAGGATCCCCAGGCACTGGACACCCATTCCCTGAAGCCTGGGGTCTCCATCTTGGAAAATGTCAGAACTGGAGCTCTGTGGAGGTGACCTGTGTTACTGTGCTGGCTAGTTCAACTTGACACAAGCTACAGTCGTCTGAGAGGAGGGAGTCCCAACTGAGAAATGCCTCCATAAGATCAGCTATAAGCAAGCCTGTAGGGCATTTTCTTAATTAGTGATTGGTGGAGGGCCCAGCCCAGTGTGGGTGGTGCTGTCCCTGGGCTGGTGGTCCTGGGTTCTACAAGAAAGGCTGAGCAAGCTAAGTGGAGCAAATAAGTAAGCAGCACTCCTTCTTGGCTTCTGCATCAGCTCCTGCCTCCAGGTTCCTGTCCTGTTTGAGTTCCTGTCCTGACTTCCTTCAGTGATACACAGTGATAAGGAAGTATTAGCCGAATAAACCCTTTCCTCTCCAACTTGCTCTGGTCATAGTGTTTCATCACAGCAGTAGTGACCCTGACTAGGATAGTGACCCTGTTCTAGTTACTGCCGACTCTCTCCGGACCTCAAGAGTGCCGTTGGTGTTAAGCAGGGACCTTAGGCTCTGCAACAGGGCTGCTTGGAAGCCTGGAGGGACCCCTGTTCTGTGAATCTCAGGGAAGAGGAGGCCATGCTGTCTTTGGTGTTTGCGGGTGGAGATTAGGCAGGCTCTGAGGTCAGGGGAGGGATCAGGCAGAGTGGTGGCCTCAGCAGGCCAGGGATTACCAGGTGATACTCCACCCCACCCCCATTCTACCCCACCCCACCACCTGGGGAGCTGCAGCCTCCCTCCCTCCCTCCCTCCCTCCCTCCCTCCCAGGAAAGCCAGGCTATGGGTACCCTAACCCAGAATACCGAAGCCCTGAAATTTGAGCAAGACGACCAAGGTTTGGGATCTTGGGCTGCCTATTCTTTTGCATATATTGGCATATGATTTGCATCTACCTGCATAAATTTAGCATTTTGCATAAATGCTAAACCTGCCATTTAAATTCCCTGTGGTTGGGCTCCTGTAATGGGTGCTGCTCCTCTATAGGGATCCAGGAACTTAAGAAAGCACCCTAAGTTTTTTTTTAAAGAAACTTGCCCAGTACTTACCCTATCCCCAACCTAAGGTCCAACGCTTGTTTGTTTGTTTTGTTTTGTTTTGTTTTGTTCCAAAACAGAGTTTCTCTGTGTAGCCTTGGCTGTCCTGGAACTCACTTTGTAGACCAGGCTGGCCTCAAACTCAGATATCCTGAGTGCTGATTTAAAGGCGTGTGCCACTACTGCCTGGCAAGGCTAAACTCTTTTTAAAGTAGGACAATAACTGAGCATAGTGGCACACATCTTTAATCCAGTACTGGGGAGGCAGATGCAGGGGGATCTCTGAGTTCAAAACCAGCCTAGTCTACAGAGTGAGTTTCAGGTCTGCCAGGCATACATAGAGTGAACCTGTTTCAAAAGACCAAATTAAAAAAAAAAATACAGAAAGTATATAAACACATAATTTAGTAATTTCTGCATTGAGACCTACCCCAACCCCGCTCCCCTAATTGTTACTCAGGTCAGACACAGGGTACAAACTTTGCTAAAGAGTTTAGTGGGAGGAGGCAGATTCTGGCATCCTCCGGTCTGTATACTTCCTACACGGAGCTGTGCTGTAGTACAGCAGCCCCTGTCACTCTGAGTTCACTACCACGTGCCATTTTCTGGGGGTCTTACAGAAGCTGACACTTGAAGCCTTTAACACAGGTGCCAAAAAAATCCCTACCTCTTCTGTCCAGTCCTTGTTCCTGCTGTGCTCTGTGCCCATCCTGTAGGCCATAGGTGCAGGGTATGAAGGACACAGGTAGCATGAGAAGCACAGGAGGGAGCAGAAGCCTGAGAAGCTGGAAAAGGAGATTTCACCCAAACTTGCCGTGAGTCAGAGATGTAGTTATCGATACCACGGCCAGGGAAGCTTCCTTACCCACGGCAGCCACAGCAGCACAGACTATGAACACCGACCTCCGGGGGCAGCGAGGACCACAGGCTATGTGGCATAGCCTGCAGCGGCAGCAAGACAATAGACGTTGGCATGGCCTCCAGCAGCAGCATGGGTCATAAACACTGGCATGGCTGGTGGTGGCAGTGCAGAGCGGGGACATGAACATGGCCCGGTGGCAGCAAGAACCGTGGACACTGGCATGGCATGTGGTACCAGCCAGACCACGAATACCAGCATGGCCTCCAGCGGCAGCACAGACCTCCACCAACATGGCCTGCGACATGCCTTATGCCAAGCCAGTTTATTTAGAAACAGTATCTTGGGCTGGAGAGATGGCTCAGAGGTTAGGAGCACTGCCTGCTCTTCTAGAGGTCCTGAGTTCAATTCCCAGCAACTACATGGCTGCTCACAACTATCTATAATGAGATCTGGTGTGCAGGCACACATGCAGACAAAACACTTTATATGAAACAAACAACCAAATAAATCTTTAAAAAATGAGTTTAAAAAGTGGAATATGAACTAGGCATGCTGGTATGCAGCTCTAATCCTAGACTCCAGAGGCTGAGTTCAAATCTAGCCATGGGTACGTGCTGCGTGACCCTGTGTTGTACAGGCCTGTATCCAAGGCAAACAGCTGCCATCTGGGGGAGTTCTGCTGTGCCAGCTTGCAAAAGATCATGCCAGCTGGGCTTGTTGGCAGTTTGCATCCCCTGGAGGGTGGAGAGAGTCACAAGGCTCTCTCTCTGTCTCTCTGTCTCTCTGTCTCTCTGTCTCTCTGTCTCTCTCTCTCTCTCTCTCTCGTGTGTGTGTGTGTGTGTGTGTGTGTGTGTGTGTGTGTGTGTGTGTGTG